AAAAAACTCTATGCACATAAACCAGTAATCCTGGAAGAAATGGATAAATTCCTGGACACTTGCATCTCCCAAGCCTAAACCAGGAAGAAGTCGAAACCCTGAATAGATCAATAACAAGGGCTGAAGTTGAGGCAGCAACTAATAGCCTACAAACCAAAAAAAGCCCAGGTTCAGATGGGTTCACAGCTGAATTCTACCAGACACACAAAGAGGAGCTGGTACCACTTCTTCTGAAACTATTCCAAACAATCCAAAAAGAGGGAATCCTTCCCAAATCATTTTATGAGACCAACATCATCCTGATATGAAAACCCGACAGAGATTCAAAAAGAAAAGAAAACTTCAGGCCAATATCCATGATGAACATAGACGCAAAAATCTTCAATAAAATACTGGCAAACCAATTGCAACAGCACATCAAAAAGCTTATCCATCACAATCAAGTAGGCTACATCCCAGAGATGCAAGGCTGGTTCAACATACACAAGTCTATAAACGTAATTCACTACATAAACAGAACCAAACACAAAAACCACATGATTATCTCAATTGATGCAGAGAAGGCCTTTGACAAAATTCAACTGCCCTTTATGCTAAAAACTCTGAATAAACCAGGTATCAATGGAATGTATCTGAAAATAATAAAAAATATTTATGACAAACCCACAGCCAATATCATACTGAATAAGCAAAAACTGGAAGCATTCCCTTTGAAGTATGGCATTAGACAAGGATGCCCTCTCTCACCACTCCTATTCAATATAATACTGGAAGTTCTAGCCAGAGCAATCAGGCAAGTAAAAGAAATAAAGGGTATTTACTTAGGAAAGGAAGAAGTCAAATTGTCTCTATTTGCAGACAACATGATTGTACATTTAGAAGACCCCATTGTCTCAGCCCAAAATCTCCTGAAACTGATAAAGCAACTTCAGCAAAGTCTGAGGATACAAAATCAATGTGCAGAGATCACAAGCATTCCTATACACCAATAACAGACTTAAAGAGAGCCAAATCAAGAACGAACTGCCATTCACAATTGCTACAAAGAGAATAAAATACATAGGAATACAACTAACAAAGGATGTAAAGGACCTCTTCAAGGAGAACAACATACCACTGCTTAATGAAATAAGAGAGGACACAAACAGATGGAGAAACATTCCATGCTCATGGTTAGGAAGAATCAATATCATGAAAATGGTCATACTGCCCAAAGTAATTTATAGATTCAATGCTATCCCACCAAGCTACCAATGGCCTTCTTCACAGAACTGGAAAAAACCACCTTAAACTTCATATGGAACCAAAAGAGAGCCTACATAGCCAAGTCAATCCTAAGCAAAAAGAACAAAGCTGGAGGGAGGCATCACGCTAGCTGACTTCAAACTATACTACAAGGCTACAGTAATCAAAACAGCATGGTACTGGTACCAACACAGAGATATAGACCAATGGAACAGAACAGAGGCTTCAGAGGCAATGCCACACATCTACAACCATCTGATCTTTGACAAACCAGACAAAAACAAGCAATGGGGAAAGGATTTCCTGTTTAATAAATGGTGTTGGGAAAACTGGCTAGCCATGTGTGGAAAGCAGAAACTGGACCCCTTCCTGACACCTTACACTAAAATTAACCCCAGATGGAATAGACTTAAATATAAGACCTAACACCATAAAACCCCTAGAAGAAAACCTAGGCAAAACCATTCAGGACATAGGCGTAGGCAAGGACTTCATGACTAAAACAACAAAAGCCAAAATAGATAAACTGGATCTAATTAAACTCCAGAGCTTCTGCACAGCAAAAGAAACAATCATTAGAGTGAACTGGCAACCAACAGAATGGGAAAAAAATTTTGCAATCTACCCATCTGACAAAGGACTTATATCCAGAATGTACAAAGAACTAAAACAGATTTATAAGAAACAAACAAACAAACCCATTCAAAAGTGGGCAAAGGAATATGATCAGGCACTTTTCAAAAGAAGACATATATGAGGCCAACAAACATATGAAAAAATGCTCATCATCACTGGTCATTAGAGAATGCAGATCAAAATTACATTGAGATACCATGTCACTCCAGTTAGAATGGTGATCATTAAAAAATCTGGAGACAACAGATGCTGGAGAGGATGTGGAGAAATAGGAACAGTTTTACACTGTTGGTGGGAGTGTAAATTAGTTCAACCATTGTGGAAGACAGTGTGACAATTCCTCAAGGACCTAGAAACAGAAATTCCATTTGACCCAGCAATCCCATTACTGGGTATATATCCAAGAGATTATAAATCATTCTATTATAAGACATATGAACAGGTATGTTCATTGCAGCACTGTTTACAATGGCAAAGACTTGGAACTAACCCAAATGTCCATCGATGATAGACTGGACAGGGAAAATGTGGCACATATACACAATGGAATACTACGCAGCCATAAAAAATGATGAGTTCGTGTCCTTTGTAGGGACATGGATGAACCTGGAAACCATCATTCTCAGCAAACTGACACAAGAACAGAAAATCAAACACTGCATTTTCTCACTCATAGGCGGGTGTTATACAATGAGAACACATGGACACAGGGAGGGGAGCACTACACACTGAGGTCTGTTGAGGGGCACTAGGGGAGGGACAGTGCAGGGTAGGAAGTTGGGGAGGGATAACATGGGGAATAATGCCACATATAGGTGATGAGGATGGAGGCAGCAAACCATGTATGTACCTATGCAACAATCCTGCATGTTCTTCACATGTACCCCAGAACCTAAAGTGCAATAAAAAATATATATATATGAAAAGAAAAAGCAGGATTACTTAATATGAGAATAGTTATCTGACACAAAGGAATAAATAGAAACAAAGTAGTCACAACAGTGGGCATCTGCTCCATCCACTCTACATGCTAGTGAGTGGACATCTGTCCCATCTACTCTACATGCTAGTGAGTGGACATCTGCCCTATCCACTCTATACGCTAGTGAGTGGACATCTGCTCCATCCACTCTACATGCTAGTGAGTGGACATCTGTCCCATCTACTCTACATGCTAGTGAGTGGACATCTGCTCTATCCACTCTACATGCTAGTGAGTGGACATCTGCCCCATCCACTCTACATGCTAGTGAGTGGACATCTGCCCCATCCACTCTACATGCTAGTGAGTGGTGAACATCTGCCCCATCCACTCTACATGCTAGTGAGTGGACATGTGCTCCATCCACTCCACATGCTAGTGAATGGACATCTGCCGCATCCACTCCACATGCTAGTGAGTGGACATCTGCCCCATCCACTCTACATGCTAGTGAGTGGACATCTGCCCCATCCACTCTACATGCTAGTGGGTGGACATCTGCCCCATCCACTCTACATGCTAGTGGGTGGACATCTGCCCCATCCACTCTACATGCTAGTGGGTGGGCATCTGCCCCATCCACTCTACATGTTACTGAGTGGGCATCTGCCCCATTCACTCTACATGCTACTGAGTGGGCATCTGCCCTATCCACTCTACATGCTAGTGAGTGGGCATCTGCCCCATCCACTCTAACATGCTACTGAGTGGACATCTGCCCCATCCACTCTACATGCTAGTGAGTGGGCATCTGCCCCATCCACTCTACATGCTAGTGGGTGGGCATCTGCCCCATCCACTCTACATGCTACTGAGTGGGCATCTGCCCCATCCACTCTACATGCTAGTGAGTGGGCATCTGCCCCATCCACTCTACATGCTAGTGAGTGGGCATCTGCCCCATCCACTCTAACATGCTACTGAGTGGACATCTGCCCCATCCACTCTACATGCTAGTGAGTGGACATCTGCCCCATCCACTCTACATGCTAGTGAGTGGACATCTGCCCCATCCAGTCTACATGCTAGTGAGTCCAGTCCTAGAATGTCACAGACTCTGAGTTTAAAGAAAACTTAAAACTTTGTCTAGTCCAGTCCTCTACCCAACAATCTAATTTCATCCAGAACAACCCCAAAGTAATTGCCCAGAGATGATTGCCTCTAGTGGCAGGGAACTCCACGCTCAGTGTTCTAATACGGGAGACCACTAATTCTTTGAAAGTTTTTACACTTACCAAACACCCTTCCCTTATGGCACTTTCTCCTATTGGTCCCAGCTGTAATCTCCAGAATGTTACAAAATAAATGGAATCCCACTTGCTTACACTGTCTTTGAAACAGAGACAGCTTTGAGCACTACGAACTGCCACAAGAGGAGGCTGAATGAACAGCTACATGCCTTAAAGGGCAAACAAGGACTTCAGAGCAGGCAATTATAAATGATACAATCAGAAAACAAAGGGAGAGGCTTCATGCTGTTATCAGCACAGCCTCTGCTGCACATAGCCTCCATCCCCAGACAAACTCTGAGTCTCAAACACAAAGTGAATGACAGAGCTGTTTGTGTCCCTTTCTACTTGACTTCAATAACATCTTTAAAGAAAACATGTTCTAAATGTACAAGTAAGTTAATTACTGTAAACGACGCTCTAGACAAGAGTCAAAAGAGGACCCTGATCATGTTTAAAATAATAAAAGACAGTTAAAAATCATTTTGAGCTGTTAGCATTTAGCTTAGACATAATACAGAAATACGAAGAAAGAGGAGGAGAATTTTATGGCAACATAGGAATAAGCAGAAAAAACTACTTCCTAGACAACTGGACTGTCTTGTTGAAAGGCTAATTAATACTTAGTGTACACAGGGGTAAAATCTCTCTGAATAAAAAACCAAACAGACACTGGTCAGGGGGACTGGCTCACACCTGTAATCCCAATACTTTGGGAGGCCAAGGTGGGAGGATCGCTTGAGATCAGGAGTTTGAGATCAGCCTGGGCAACATACTGAGACTTCATCTCTATTAAAAAATAAACAAAAAACCAAACCTAGATGCACAGCCTCCAGATCACAGCAGAAGGGGCTGTTAAGGATTCAATTCTATCATTGTCTAATCTGAGAAACCTAAACCCAACTCACCTAAGGTTGCCAGGTAAGCGGCAGAGCTAGGACAAAATCTCCTGATTCCTCAATCTCTGTTCTGTCCATTGCACCATGATGCTATCTTCAGCAAAATTCAAATAACTGTAAAACGTCCATCCAGATGAGCAACCCCAAATCTGACAAGTTACAGAAAAAATAAAGCAAAGGTCTTTACATTCTTCAAGTTAATGTCAGGGCTCTGATGTCCACAACCTCGGCTCAGCCGCCCAACCTCCCAGAAGCACACTCCGATTCATATTTCATATTTTGGTATGACTTACATAGAATCCAGGACGGTTAGAAACCAAAACCTAGAGAAGGATGAGCTTGCAGAAAAATAATGAACAAACAGGGAACCACACCCAGAGCAAACCAAACCCCAGTGGTGGAAAATGCAGACAGCTAAAAAGGGAGTGGACTAAAAGAGAAAGGGACAGAAAAGGGTGCCTTTTCACACGTCAAGTTTCCCGCAGGAGGCAGTGTGGCGAAAAGCAAACAGCTGCTGAAGCTTAGGAACATTTGCATTCCAGGCGTAGGTCTACGATTAACTCGCTGGGTGACCTTAGGCACGCCCTTACCCCTTCCCGGAGTACGGGCTAGGTCCTGGGAAGGAGTTGCACCAGACGACTTCCCAGGGTCCTTGCAATTCTGACCCAAAGACCTATTATTAGCCAGTCTCGAGCAGGGCTCCCGCAGCGGACAAGACATTTGCTGGGAACAGCTGGGGCCCTTTAGGAGGCGCAAAAGACGCCCTAGATGGTTGTTTGGGTTATCGTCACCTTCTACCCCCGTTTCCCACACCTGTCAAATAGGACGGTGAGACCCCAACCGGTTCCACGAGGTCAAGAAAGATAGCGCGAGGGGCAGGGATCCCCACTTCGCCCAGTTCACAGAGGGGTGCCCGCGTCGTACCGCAGCTGCGGCCCGGGGACGCCGAGGAGTCGCGGACCCGCAGCCCGGGCGCGTCCGGTGCCTGACCTGGAGCATCTGCAACGCCGGAGGAAGGCGAGGTGGGTCCTGCCCCGGGCGGCGAGCGCCGCCAGCCGGAGCGCGTCAGTGGAGGAACTCACGGCTCGCGTTCCAGCCCCCCCAGGCTCCGGCTCTGGCTTCAGCACAGCCCACCTTTCCCGGCTTCAGTACCAGCCCCTCGCCATCCTCCTTTGCTGCCCCGGCAGTCGCTTCCGGGCCTCGTCACGTGAGCCCGGCGCCCACGCCCTAGGCCGAGATCACGTGCTCCTTTGCGCTGCCGCCCCTGTTTTCTCACTGAGCGGCCGGCGCTCTGCTCCACAGCACCACCTGACGACCTATTACTGCCACTGCTGGGTGGACTATGTTCTGGGCGCTGGAGACCGCGAGTAGGCACTGAACGGGGCACTGATCTTGGGCATGGGGCAGAGTCCAGTAGAAGAACACTGTGCCTTGAGTTGTGGGTTTGTGAAACATTGCTAATTTTAACACTGGCTATATTTTCTTTTACACATCCCGATGGGTTTATATTGCTTTTATAAGAAATATTCATATTTTTAAAAAATCTTCTAGTCAAATTTTCAGACGCATACACAAACTCTCATCTGTAGTTGCTACTGGAAATGGAACTGTGGGGTAAGGCAACACTATCTTTGAATACATTTAAATTTTTAAAGTAACATTTTTAAATGGATGGCAACATTTCAGCATTATATATCTAGGCTTCTCCTTTTACCTCCTTGTTGTAGATTTTCCCTTTAACAAATATGTAACAAATAGACCTCAAGTCAAAACTGTCTCAAGAGACAGAGATCATTGTTTAATGATAAAGGGGCCAATTCATCAAGAGGGCACAATCATAAATACACATGCATGCAACATCGGAGCACCCAAACACATACAACTAATATTAATGGCCATGAAGGGAGAAATAGATAGCAACACAGTAGTAGTAGGAAAGTCAATATCCCACTTTCCACAATGGATAGAGCAACTAGAGAGAAAATAAGGAAATAATGAACTTGAATTGCACTTTAAACCAAATGAACCTAACAGATATATACAGAACTTTTCATCCAACAGAAACAGAATACACATTTTTCTCAAACACACTTGGAGCATTCTCTAGAATGGACCAGATGCTAATCCAGAAAACAAGCCTTAAATTTAAGAAGATTGAAATCATATTAATATTCTTTCAGACCATAATGGTATGAAGCTAGAAATCAATAACAGGAAGAATCTTGGAAAATTCACAAATATGTGGAAAATAAACAACACACTTTTTTTCTTTGAGATGGAGTTTCACTCTTGTTGCGTAGTCTGGAGTGCAATGGCACAATCACAGCTCACTGCAACCTCTGCCTCCCAGATTCAAGCAATTCTCTTGTCTCAGCTTCCCAAGTAGCTGGGATTACAGGCATGTGCCACCACGCCTGGCTAATTTTGTATTTTTGGTAGAGACAAGGTTTCACCATGTTGGTCAGGCTAGTCTCAAACTCCTGTCCTCAGATGATCTGCCCACCTCGGCTTCCCAAGGTGCTGGGATTACAGGTGTGAGCCACCACGCCTGGTCCCATGCTTCTAAACAACCTATAGGTCAAAGATGAAATCAAAAGGGAAATTTAAAAAAATATTTTCAGACAATTGACAATGGAAACATAACATATTAAAGCTTACAGAATGCAGCAAAGGTAGTTCTAAGAGAGAATTTTATAGCAATAAATGCCTACATTAAAAAAGAAGAACAATACCAATTAAATAGTTTAACATTACACCTGAAGAAACTGGAAAAAATAGAGCTCACAAAACCCAAAGTTAGCAGAAGGAAAGAAATAAAGAGCAGAACAAAAATAAATCAAATAGACAACAGAAAAAAACATAGCCAAAATCAATAAAACTAAGAGTTTATTTTTTGGAAAAAATAAAATTGACGTACCTTTATCTAGTCTAAGTAAAAAGGAAATCTCTAATTAAATAAAAAATGAAAATGACACCACAACAGATGCTTCAGAAATAAAAAGAATCATATGGGGCTATTATGAACAATTATTTGCCAACAAATTGTATAACCCAGAGGAAATGGAGAAATTCCTAGAAAAATACAACGTACCAAGATTGAAATCAGGAAGAAATGGAAAGCTTGAACAGACAAAGAGATTGAAGATGTAACAGAGACTATTTGACTTTCTGGCTTTCTGTTTAAATTTCCCTGAAAGACCAGATGGCTTCACAGCTGACTTCTACAAACATTCAAAGAAGATTACCAATACTTAATAAACTCTTCCAAAAAGCATGGAGCTAGAGGGAGTACTTCCCAACACATTTTATGAGGCCAGCATTACCTTGATACCTAAGCCAGAGAAAAACACTATAACAAGAAAATTACAGGCTGATTTTGCTAATGCACACTGGTACAAAAATCCTCAATAAAATATTTGCAAACAGAATTCAACAACAATAAAAAAAATTATAAATCATGACCAAGTGGGATTTATCCCTGGCAGGCAAAGCTGGTTTAACATACACTAATCAAACAACATAATAAATCACATTAACAGAATGAGAAATGAAGACCACATGGGTATCTCAATTGACCTTGCAAAAGCATTTGACAAACTTCACATCCTTTCTTTCCCTAGCCCCCACCCTGGCATACCTTCTTGATAAAAAACTCTCAGTGGTTTAGGTATAGAATGAACGTTCCTCAACATAATAAAGGTAATTTATGAAAAATGCACAGCTAACATTTTAATTAATGGGGAAAAACTGAAAGCTTTTCCACCAAGATCAAGTACCAGTCAAGGATACCCAACCTCACCACTTCTATTCAACATAGGACTGGAAGTACTAGCAAGAGCAATCAGCCAAAAAAGAAAAAGAAAGAAAGCCATACAAATCAGAAAGAAAAAAGTAAAATTATCTTTAACTGCAGATGACATGATCCTATATGTAGAAAACCCCAAAGATTAAAAAAAATGCTTTTAAATTAATGATTTTAGTAAATTTACAGGATATAAAAATCAACATACATGACTGGGAGCTGTGGCTCATGCCTGTAATCCCAGCGCTTTGGGAGGCCAAGAGTGGGGGCAGGTCACCTGGGATCAGGAGTTCAAGACCAGCCTGGCCATCATGGTGAAACCCTGTCTCTACTAAAAATACAAAAATTAACCCAGCATGGTGGCACACACCTGTAGTCCCAGCTACTTGGGAGGCCGAGGCAGGAGAATTGCTTGAACCTGGGAGGAGGAGGTTGCAGTAAGCCAAGATCACACCACTCCAGCCTGGGTGACAGTGAGACTCCATCTCAAAAAAAAAAAAAAATTATAAAAATCAGTAATATTTTTATACACAAATAATTACATACTTCAAAAAGAAATTAAGAGAACGATTTTATTTGAGATAGTATTAAAAAACACTTGAGAATCAATTTAACCAAGGACATGAATAGTGTGTACACTGAAAACTATAAAACAATGATTAAACAAATTGAAGAAGACACAAGTAAATGAAAAGCTATCCCATGCACATGGACCAGAAGAATTAACATTGTTAAAATGTCCATACCCAAAGCAATATACCGATTTAATGCAATCCCTATCAAAATCCCAATGGCATTCTTCACTGAGATATAAGAAATAATCCTAAAATTTGCATGAGATCACAAAAAAATCCTAAATAGCCAAGACAATTCTGAGAAAGAATAACAAACTGGGTGCACCACACTTCCTGATTCAAGATTATGTTACAAAGATATAGTAATCTAAACAGGATAGTACTGGCAAAAAAACCGATACAATAGACCAATGGAACACAATAGAGAGCCTAGAAATAATGCAAACACACATGGTCAACTAATTTTCAAGAAGGGCATCAAGGGAACACAGTGGGGGAAAGATAGTCTCTTCAATAAATGGGACAGAGAAAACTGGTTTTTATGTGAGAAAGAATGAAATTGGATGTATATATTACACTGTACACAAAAATCAACTCAAAATGGATAAAATACCTAAATGTAAGATCCAAAACTATAAAATTCCTAGAAGAGAACATAAGGGAAAAGCTCCTGGACATTGGCCTTGGCAATGATTTTTTTGGATATCAGACCAAAAGGTCAGGTTACAAAAGCAAAAATAAATAAATAGGACTACATAAAACTAAAAAGCTTCTGTACAGCAAAGGAAGCAAACAACAAAGTGAAACAGCAGCCTATGAATTGGAAAACACATGCAAACCATATGTCTAATAAGGGATTAATATCCAAAATTTATCAAGAACTTATATAACTCAGCAGTAGAAAACAACCCAATTTAAAAATGGGCAAAGGACCTGAATAAACATTTCTCCAGAGAAGAAATAAAAATGCTCAGCAAGTATATGAAAAAATGTTCAACATCATTAATCATCAGGGAGAATGCAAATCAAAACCTGTACTAGATACTACCTTACACATATTAGGTTGGCTATTATCAAAAGTCAAAAGACAACAAATATTGGTGAGGATGTGGAAAAAGGGAATTCTAGTACACTGTTGGTGGGACTGTAGATTGGTGCAGCCATGAGAGAAAACAGTATAAAGGTTTCTAAAGAAATTAAAAATAGAACTACCATATGACCCCCCTTTCTGGGCATATACTAGAAGGAAATGAAATCACCACCTTATAAAGATATCTGCACTCCCACATTCCTTGTAGCGTTATTCCTAATAGCCAAGATATATTAATAACCTAAGTGTCTATTGACAGTGGAATGGTTAAAGAAACTGTAGTATATATAGAAACAGTTGTTTGGTTTTCTTTCTTTTTTTTTTTTTTTTTTTTTTTTTGAGACAGAGTTTCGCTCTTGTTACCCAGGCTGGAGTGCAATGGCACAATCTCGGCTCACCGTAACCTCCGCCTCCTGGGTTCAAGCAATCCTCCTGCC